GCCCAAAAATTAACAATTGTAAACCGCTTTGAGACTCAGATCTGCAGTGAAAAGGCGGTATATAAATAAAAACTTACTTACTTACTTACTTACTATTGCTACTTTCACAGGTGCTACTAAAAGTACCGTGTCAGCAATTACACTGCAAATATGTAGAAGTAAGTAGTAGTAGTAGTAGTACCATAGTCAAGCGATTATATTTGACATGTAACCTGGACCTTTACAAACAGATGATGGAGTGCTTTGTTAATTGAAATCCCCCTCTTGAGCCAAACCTACTCCCTCCCCATAATCACGCTAATAAAGAATAGATTTATTTCTCTATATATCTCTCAACCCGAGCACCACTTTAGCCGTGCCTCGGTCTGTGCCGGCTTTTCTTGTCCTCCCCCAGATCCCGACACAATGAGCAAGGGCCCCTTCTCCCACAGACCTAAACCAACATGTGTTTTATTTTTAGAGCTCCCTCACTCAGCCCACGCCGGGGGAAAAAAAAGCAACCAAATCCCTCCAACACGAGGAGGAAAGAGCAGATGATGCCGGTCTAAAGCAGGGAACATATCTGCAAGTTTATACAAGATCAGCAAAAAAAGTAAATTGCCCTAAGTTTTTCTATTATTGTAAGAAATGTGAGTGTGGTAATAGCTTTTTAAAATGTAAATTAGAGGTGTTACATCTGTCACCCATTTTCTTGTGTGTGTTCATTTATCAACTTTTTATAACTCATAAACTGCACAAATATGTTAATTGTAGTGCTCTCTACATATCCTGGTCATTTTTTTGACATTTTAGTTCATCCATCCATCCATTTTCTTCCCCTTAATCCATTTCTGGGTCGGGGTGGCAGTCAGAGATGCACCCAGTACACATAGCACCAACCCCTCACTGATCCTCCTGCAGGTGCTTTCAGCGGGGGGTTCAGGCAAAGTGGGGTTAAGTGTCTTGCCCAAGGACACAACGACAGCAGTCATCAGTGGGAGTCGTGAAGTAGGTCTTATGGTGGGCTCAAACCCACAACCTTCAGGCTCAAAGGCCAATGCTCTACCAACTGAGCCGCTGTCGCCCCATTTTAGTTCAAATTAGATGCAATCTCACGTTTGAGCCATAAAACGTCTGTGTGGCGCCCTCTCTACCATTTTTGGTGGTACTACATTTGAATTTGGTCCTGGCCTCTCCATTGACTCTGTAATACTGTGTGACGTCACTTTGTATGTGTAACGAGCGTCTGTCTGCGCCAATGATATATCCCCATCCAACTTTCACACACGCCCCAGCTGCAGTTTGGAGTATTCTGGCGACATCTAGAGGATTAAAATTAAATTAAATGAGTAATTCTGAGATCATTGTGTGTGATTAGGTTCAGGTGTGTAGCTTTACAATTATCTTAGTGTGTAAACAAGGCTGGAATGAGACTTTCTGGTGTGTAAACTATTGCTTTAAGCAGCAATGACAACTGACAGAGAAAATATTCAAATGTTCATGTGGGCGGAGTCAGGCTGGGCACAGGTGTTTAGTCGCTCTTTAAGCTTGCAGTAGCAGAGAAGCTAATGTCAAGCTAGTGTCAATGGAAAATGGGGTGGGATTTAATACATTCTCTCCTTCCCTCTCCCTTTCAAGCAAAGTAGGTTTTTAATTTTGATTTTGATGTTTTTTTTTTTTTTTTACAGGTACAGTATGTGTTGCTCCTGTGTTTTCCAAGGACAAATAAATGAATAAAATAAGATAAATAAATAAAGAAACGTACAAGTTCTACGACACCAAAAACAGGATGACATGTTATTGTGTCATCAGAGGAACTGGTTTTCTGCTGGGATTCTGAGACGCACTGGGACTGGCCTCTTGCTTGCCTTTCAGAGTCAGGACTAAACAAATGGAGGCAGCGTTTCAGATTTGTGCAGCTAAAATCTGGAGCTGTCTTTCTGAAAATGTGAGACAGGCTTCCACTCTGACAATGTACAGTATTTCTGCCGTGTTTCTTTTCTTACTGTACATAATGTCAATATGAATGGTTTTTAATGCCCTGTGCATGAACTGCGCTATACTTGCCTCACCTAAATGGGTCGAACTGCACCAGTATCTGAGGGTATGGGTTAATCAGACTATATACAGGAATTAATATAATGCAATAGATCATCTGTGTCCAAAAGGCGCCGGATTAAACCAATAGACAAAAAAAGTACGATCATTATTACTAGATTACAACCTGAACTGCGAAGTTGATCACCAGTGGCGTTTTTTTTTTTTTTTTCCTCAAACACAACATGGCATTGCTGTACCAGAATAGCTGTTTCTTGACAGGGCTATTCAGGGCTGTGCAGTGTCTTCCTCCCCGTGTCCGGTCTGTTCCCTCTTTCCAGGAGATGACACATGAGTCTCCATTAACACACACACACACACACACACACACACACACTCACACACACTACTAAACCTGATACAGTCAAGTGGAGCGAGGAAGCGGTCGGGGAACTGTTCAAACTCAACACGAAGGGTATGAAAAGAAAATAAAGTTTGCTCATCTCAGAGTCAAAGCAGGACTAAAGTGTGTCCCAGGAGCTGTACTTGAGCTTTGGATGATTGTAAAACAGTAAAAACACCTTCATTTGAGAACGGGATGGCCTTCTCTGTCCACCAGGAGGTCAGGACACTGGTGCATGTTGGTTTAGAAGGTTTATGAGAGTCTGCTGCATTCTTACATCTGTCGTTTACTCACACCGAGAGATGTTGGTTCTTACAGGTTACGTTCAAATGATCTTATGTTACTCTGTTACTTGCTTTTTCCTGCTCAGAACTGGGAAAAAGGCTTTTAAGATAAGATTATATAAACCATATTGATCTCACATTTTTCTGTACTTCAAATCATATTCACAAGTTTTAACACTTCATTAAAAGTGAGTAAGATTGATGGTAAACTCACTAACTTTTCAGAATTCTATTGATTTGAATGGGTCAAAATGACAGCTCTGGAAGTTCTAGCAGCTTCATACAGTACTTCTGGGAGTCCTAATGTTAACAAGCAAAAAAACAATAAAATAAACACACTTAGGAGCCATTTTGATCCATAGGGGCCAGGATGACCAATGTCCATAAATGTTGATAAATGTGAATCTAGGGGGCGCTACAGTCACCAAACTAAACCCTGAAGAAGATATTTTGGCTCTAATCTCCAACTGTAAATCCATCTTCTGTAATTCTTCTACATATTTTTCTGGAAGTCTTAAAACCCTCATTATTTAGTCTTATGTGAGTGGTGTACACAGAATCCATTAGTTATAAGTTAATTGTGGTCAAACCTACGTGCGAAAGCTGCAGACCTCTGAAGCTGTATAGGGCAGGGCCTGGTTAGTGCTGTGATGGGAGACCTCTGGGAACACCAGGTGCTACAGTGGGGCGGCTGTGGCTGTAAAGTGCCAAACTGTTGTTGTGTCTTTAGGCAAGACACTTCACCCACTTTGCTTAGAATGAGTCTGATGTTTGTGTGAATGGCTGGTAGTGGTTGGAGGGGGGGCTGAGGGCAAATACTAGTTGCTTCTGTCAGTGTGCCCCAGGGCAGCCGTGGCTACAGTGGTAGTTTACCAACACAGTGTATGGAGTGAATGAATAATGACACGTGAAGTGTATTTGAGCGTCCTGAAAACCAATGCATTATTATACGTCTAAAAGCTTGTCCAGTGTAGATTCTGTATGTTGTGAGCAATGAATATGTTTCTGGAAAAAAGTTATTACAAAGTTTCTGAAAAAATTACGTAAGGTCTATTTCGTACCAAAGTGTGTGAAACCTTCAGACAAGTTTCACTACTGGAAAAACAGATTTAAATACTTACTGTACTTCCTCCTTCTGTGGTGTGAAAAAACTAATGTTAACTTCTCACACACAGTGCCTTAAAAAGTATAAAGATAATTATTTTGTAGTTTTTGTGATGAAAACACTGCACAGTTAATTGCAGAGTTGAAATGAGTGATTGATTAAAATGTTCATTCATCTAACTATAAGTATAATCCTTTTGTTTGCATCGTGACAGCAGACTTCCTAAAGCTGGTGCTGGGTGTGGAGGGTTCAAATCCCAGTCAGAGCAGGGACTTTTTTGAGTGGTGTTTGCATGTTCTCCTCATGTCTGTGTAGGTTTCCTTTGGGTGCTCCGGTATCCTCGACTTTCCCCTTCCCAATATACACAATAGATAAAATCTTCCATCTGAGGACAAAGTTCCCTACAGAGAAAAATCAAGTGCAATCTGTGTTGTCGGCCCCTGTACAATTAATAATACACAGGTTTTACGTAGCGCAGAGAGGCGTCCAGATGTTGGGTGTGTGGACTGGGTCGCAGAGGTCTCCGCCTTCGGCTGCCGCCCAGTCCTCGCTGCAGCATGCCACTACAGATCCCACTGTGGGTGATGGGCCCACAGGAGGGACTGCCCATGTCGTCCTTTTGGGCTGAGCCCGGCCAGGCCCCGTGGGCAAAGGCCCAGCCACCAGACGCTCGCTTTTCGAGCCCCAACCCCAGGCCTGGCCCTAGGATGGGGCCCTAGGATGGGGCCCCGGCTGCGCCATGCCGGGCAGCATTACTGATCTCGTCATAGTGCTGTCCATGGTTGGCTTCGGACTGTCCTTCGTCTGACTCGTCACCTTAGACCTGTCTGCCATGGGAGACCCTACCAGGGGCATGAAGCCCCAGGCAAAAAAGCTCCCAGGATCATTATCAGTATTATTATCAGAGTTGACGCCTGTCTCACATTTTCGGGAAGACTGTCCCAAACTTTAGCTGCATAGATCTGAAACAAATCTGCCTTCCCCATGTTTAGTTCTGGAAGTGGTCCCCGGAATCAGAATTTCCCTGACTGCCTCGCTGTTTGCGTGACTCTCTGATCTGCCAGAGCTCGGGCTTCAGTGTGGACACGTATTGACAAGGACAGATTATATTTTCTGCTTTTCTTTCTTTGGTCCCTTCTGTTTTCTCTTTTCAGTTTTTGCGCTGCCGGTATCACGTTTCACCGCAGCCCGCATGCTAACCGGAGACCGATGCTTACCAGGGACTGATGCTGGCGAGCGGGCGGATTGTGGAGCCGTCTGCCAGAAACGCTGCTCACACGATCCACATTTGGTCGGTGTAATGTTGTGTGTTTTTCTGCTTTCGAGGCGATGATTTATTGAGCCCTTTGATATGTTTATGGTTTATGGTTTTTGCTTGCGGAGGCTTCCATTGCAGAAATATGGAATTGCAGATGGACACACCATGTACTTGGTCTATATATACACTGTTTCAAAGAGATGATAAGATAAGATGACCTTTTATAATAAACAAAATTGTGTTAAGTTGTGTGTGTACAATTTTGTGAACAAATCAGACCATGTTTATTCAAGTTATTGGAATGGGAGGTTTGGGATCTTTTCAAGCCGTTGTCCCACAGTCACCCTGATTTTCTTCTTATTCAATTCAATTCACTTTGTTCTTGTATAGCCCTAAATCACAACAGTGGTTATCTCAGGGGACATTGCAGAGTTGTTGAATTCGCCGACACAGATCAGAGAATCAAACGTTGAGCCATAAGTTCATTAGGGGCAGAGACCAATGTCCATAAATGTTGATTAATTTTGTGTGTCCTGGATTCTATTAGAGAAAGGTCCCTTTTTTTGCCAAACTCCACTTGTTTCTTGTTTTTCAGATTAAAACAGAAGTTGTACAGAAAATAACTGGTTACTTAAACATTTGATCAGCTCAGATTAAAGATGAGACTGTTCCAGATTTTAGCGGCATAAATCTGAAACGCAGCCTCCCCATGTTTAGTTCTGACTCTGGGACCAGCAGGAGGCCAGTCCCTGTGCTCCTCAGAGTCCCAGCAGGAGTCCAGTCCCTTGGTGTGAGCGTACTTCCTGGTTCTCGTCAGGACTCGAGCTACAGCATTTTGAATATACTGCGGCTGTTTTGATACATAACATCTCTAGCAAAACATTTCTAACTTACGCATTACACAAAGATTCCACAGACTTTCTTCCACCTCTCCTATGAGCTCCTCTTCTCCAAAAGCCAGTTTGAGACCAACTGTAACCTGACCCTGGGTTAGGATCCAGGAACCAGCCTGACCTTCTGGGACCCCTTCAGACAAGATTTCCTCACCGTAGCGCGAACCCTAACCCCATCATTGCCGTTACCCGCTGCTCGCCAGTCTCTTTTTGGGACGGACAAAGCAGCAGAGTGCAAGGGGAAAGAACCGCTGTGGTGGCCCCTGGAACTGCTGCAGCACTTGACCCGGGTCCCCTGCAGCGGAACGCCCAGCTGTGCGCATGGATCAGCGGTGACAGCGAGCGCGTTGTTCTCCGGAGGAATGTAAACAGCTATGTGGCAAACCTCACCGCCGAAGTGACATGTTTATAAATGGTTTGGTTGGATTTGAACGGGCTGTGGTGAACTGGATGAATCACAAATCAATGAGCAGACAAGAAAAAGTATATATTTAGAGCTTTTTTGTTACATTTCTTTGGTGTAATAAGGGCAGCAGCAGCACTTTTGGACCCGTTTACTCATTGACTGCCATTGACGTATTTGTCTGAGACCCTCTATTTGACTGGAGATTACAGGACAATAAAAGTAGCTAGAAACAAACTTATTTTTGCTGATCAAAGAAGACAATCCAGTCTTTCAGAATCTGGTTTCATATTTCACATAGTCTGAGGAAATAATATTCTGGGGGTCTTGAGAATCAGTGAAATAATCAAAAACGGCTGTCAGTCAATGAGTTGACTAGTTTTCATTTACATGTACTTCTGGCCTCTGTCAACATGTCGGGACACACAAAATGTACTTGAATAGTTCTGTTGGAAAAAGTCAGATCAATTTGAGTGCCGACACAAGTACGATTTTCACCTCTTCTTGAATCAGAATAAATATATTGCCATTTGCAAAAAAAACGACATTGGAATACAAACAGGAGACACCGGGGGCACCAACACACACACACACACACACACACACACACACACACACACACACACACACACACACACACACACACACACACACACACACACACACACACACACACACACACACACACACACACACACAAAAAATAATAAAAATAGCAAGACAAGACACAGTGAGGCACATGTAAAACAACGAAGGAGCTACAAAGAGAAGCAGATTCTTGAGCTAATTTTTTTCTCAATGACAAAGCAGGTTGAAGATGTTTGCTCTCTTTGCCAATGATATCTTCAATTATGAAACCAGAAAGAGTGAATGAGAAAGGTGGGACAATGAGGGTTGATTGTATATGTTTATAAATAATTAAATTACTAAAAACCTGTAGCAATCTCCTCCAAACCAGCTTCATTATCATCCTCATCCCTGGACTTCATTCCTTGCATTGCATTTGACAAGTTTTGTGTCCTGGAGCAGTGATATATCTCTCATACCTTCGATCTTTGGGCCTGACTTGAGTCTACATTGTACTATTTCTCTCAGAGTCTGGGTGGGGTTTCCTCCAGGCACTCCGGTTTCCCCCATCAACCAATGAAAACATACTTGCGGCACGGTGGCTGAGTGGATAGCACTCTCGCCTCTCAGCAAGAAGGTCCTGGGTTCGAATCCCGGTCGGACCAGGGCCTTTCTGAGTGGAGTTTGCATGTTCTCCCCGTGTCTGCGTAGGTTTCCTCCGGGTACTCCGGTTTCCCCTACCACTAAAAATATGTCCAATAGTTCTAGCATGCGCCTCCTGTACTGGCGACCCCGCTCCCATCTCTGTGTGGAGTGAGAGACAAATGCCCAAAATTAACAATTGTAAACCGCTTTGAGACTCAGATCTGCAGTGAAAAGGCGGTATATAAATAAAAACTTACTTACTTACTTACTTACTTACTTACTTGTGAGTGAATGTAGTGGTCGGAGGGGCCGCTTCTGTTCCCGCTGACTGTGGAGTGAAGGCACAGTGACTTCTCTGTGCCTTCTAAAGACAAACTATGACTATAAAATTATACGTTTGTGTCCGATCAACTCTAATCTATTGATCGATGAAACTAACTGTCAGGCGCTCTCTCCTGCATGCACATACCAGATTTAATGTGTTCCAATTCATCCAGTACTTTCTGATTTCTTTATTCCAGAGTACACATTGTCCCCCGGCGGTCTGGCGTACACGTGAGACGGTGGTATTTTGATGATGTGTGTTTTTGCCGAGACTCAATAGAAACATTTCCAGGACTCTCTCTTTGCTCTGTTTGGTTCTAATGCACTCGAGGAACAGTGTTTACTGCTGCTGCTGCTACTGCTATTACTGCTACTGCTGATCCTGCTGCTACTGCTGCTACTGCTGATCCTGCTGCTGCTGCTGCTACTGCTGATCCTGCTGCTGCTGCTGCTACTGCTGATCCTGCTGCTACTGCTGATCCTGCTGCTACTGCTATTACTGCTACTGCTGATCCTGCTGCTACTGCTGCTACTGCTGATCCTGCTGCTACTGCTATTACTGCTACTGCTGATCCTGCTGCTACTGCTATTACTGCTGCTGCTGCTACTGCTACTGCTGCTACTACTGCTGCTAGCTACTGCTACTACTGCTGCTGCTATTGCCACTACTGCTACTACTACAACTGCTACTACTGCTAATGCTGTTACTGCTATTGCTGCTGCTACAACTACTGCTGCTACTACTGTTGCTACTGCTGCTGCTGCTTTTGCTACTACTGCTGCTACTACTGCTGCTACTACTGCTACTACTACTCCTACTGCTGCTACTACTGCTGCTACTACTGTTGCTGCTACTGCTACTACTACTCCTACTGCTGCTACTACTGCTGCTACAACTGTTGCTGCTACTGCTACTACTACTCCTACTGCTGCTACTACTACTGATACTGCTACTACTACTGCTGCTACTACTGTTGCTGCTACTGCTACTACTACTCCTACTGCTGCTACTACTACTGATACTGCTACTACTGCTACTACTACTGCTGCTACTACTGTTGCTGCTACTGCTACTACTGCTACTACTACTGCTGCTACTACTGTTGCTGCTACTACTGCTACTGCTGCTACTACTGCTGTTGCTGTTGCTGATGTGAAGCTGGGGTACCTAACCTTTTGTTACTGGGATGAAAGAGTCTAATGCTAACTGCTAGCAAATAAACGGTGTGTTGCTATTGCATCTAGCACTCTTTCTCTTCTGGTGGAAAACCGAGCCGTCATTTCACCAATATAATAATAATAGAAATACTCTACATGTAGATACAGAAATCCCACAAAGTTATGGAGACCACAATACATAAGCCTAATTATGCTTTAAAAACTAAAATCCGTCTTATTGACTGCTCTAGAGTTAAGACACTAAGAAAGAGCCTTGTGAGTCACTATTTGACGCTTTGGGCAGAGAACTGATCGGCTTTTCTGGCTAAAAATACCCCATCTATAAATGTGGAAATGCATGCATGTGAAAACTAGCGATAGACACAAACTGTTTTGAGGCCGATGGAGTTTTATGACATACTTCCATGTGTTATGGTTTGAAAGTGAGGTACCCTAGCTTTAGTTCTGCTGCTGCTGCTGTTATGGGCACATCTGTTCTTCAGCACTTTGGCACAGAGCCTTATGTCAGGACCGGCCAACGGGACAGGACGCTCAGAGCAGGCAGGGAGAAGGGGAGGACATTCCCAGAGTCAACTCCTGACCCTCTCGCCCCAGTTAACCCCTCCTGCCGGGGCCCGCGTACAGTAACCCTCTGTGCTCCGGGCTCTGTCGCACATGCACACATCACTATCGATCTGTTCTCTCACTGACCCCTGTGCATACATGAAGCATCTCTGGCACTTCCACATGCAATAAACCAACATTCCAAAGAAGTCCGCTTGCTGTGTGGTCATAGGCTATATCCACACAAAGACAAAACGCTTATAATTTCAGAAACTTTTTCTGTAAACACGGAGTTAGCTCAGTAAATGTGTGCGTCCATATGAATGTAGTCAATACGCCTGAAAACGCTGTGAAACTATGCCAGACCTGTTGGTGGCGCTGTGACGCAATGACGGGATCAAGCCCAAACTTCCGTGACGGGAACTGGGCATGCGCAGAATTTTGTAAACAGACAACATGGTGAGTGGGCGAGCTGGTACTACATTAGTATGGACGGACGATGAGGTTGAACTGTTGCTTCGGGTCGCACTGGATTACAAAACCAACAAGCAACATTGTTGTTGTCATTATTTTCTGAGCGCGGCGCATGCGTGCTTTAACAAGAGGCGGGGCGATGACGCAAGCGTTTCAGATACATTGCGGAGAGGCAGTAACCACGGAGCGGCATATACGGAGTTTTGAAATCTTTCCACTCTGGGACCTAGTTTCAAAAATGTTCGTTTACACCCCCCCAAAACGCCGGCCTCGTATGGACGATACACTGGATTGATAAAGTATTTTTGCGTTTAGGCCTGAGCTTGACTTCGTGTGGACAGGGCCTTATAGTTTGGTTTAAAACACAAAAGGAAAAGAGAAAAGAATGGTGTTTTTTTCCCAAGTAGTGGCTTGGAGCTCGAAAATCACCAGAGAATTTTGAATCGGGCTGTAAATTCAACCGCAAATTATAACACAAGTTGCATGCACTGCTTGGGCCAACACACACACACCCACACAGAAAACTATAGATAAGTTGGTCTACATAGAAAAGTATCCAATGGGCAGAGATTTAAGTGATAGAAAATAGAACGTGTGATGTTTCTAAAAAGCAAGCACAAGTTAGACCTGCCCCCTCAGGTTCCTGATTGGACGCAAAGAATTCAAATCCTGCAGAGGCCTCTCGCCATTGGTCCAACTATTCTCCTCCAGAAAATACTACAGATGGTGCCTGTTCCAACAAGAGTGAGAAATGATGTATGATGACAAACACTAAAATAAATTATGCTACAGCGCCATGGTCAAACATTTCACCTTTTACGTTTATGTTGGTTACTGTTAACAAAACCGAAGTGGTTGTGATCAGGCCCCACTGCTGTCTTTGTGTGGTCTCCCTGAAGACTTGTGAAAAAACTGGGATTGTTTATGTTCAGGGGCCTTCTGTTTTTTAAAGATTTACACATTTCGACTGCATACTTTGTTTGTTGTTCTGCATTCCATTCTGATGAACCGTAAGTGTTCACTGTTTAACCAGTTTATCATTGAAAACAGTCACCAAACCCACCAAAAATGTTTACTCACCAATACATCTTAGAATTCTTTCCCCAACCATTTGGTAGATCACCTTTTGCGTAACTGAAATGAAACTCTTTGGGGCATCTCACTTGGTCCAAACTCAGGCCCAGGGGTCAATTGCGGCCCTCAGTGTCATTTTATGCGGTCCTCTGCCTCGCT